AACAACTTACAAAAATCTGTTTATGAGATAAGTTGCCAACCATATATATGTTCTAACAAACCATGCAGTGAAATATCATGTATAACTCTTCTATCATTATTTACCTTTAAGAACAACTTCAATTTAATACGACAGAAAATCATACATATCCTAATAAACCATACAATAAAAGATTATTTATGATAATCATCTTCTAATATTATTTACCTTAAAGAACAAAGATTACATTAATTACACAGGATAACCTTGCAACTATGAGTATCCTATAGGTATATTTATAATTATATTAATAGTGTTTTGAAGAAAAGTAAAACTATTATTTTTTAATGTATTTTATTCATAAAATTTGCTACTATATATATATATTTTCTACATCAAGATTTGAATATAAAAACAAAAATTAATATAATAAGTAACAAAAAGTGAAATTATAAAAGGTCAAATAAAATTTAAGACAAAATAAAATCATTATTCAACAAAATTTAAGACAAAATAAAATCATTATTCAACAAAAATTTATGACAAAATAAAATCATTATTCAACATTCCCCTTCTTCTAAAAGAAGCTTTCCCAAAATTTTATATAAGCTGTCATAGAGAGTATGTTGTGCAAGTGGTTTATCGTTTTAATCATCAAGTTTTTTCATAAGTCATCGTAATCGTTGGCGTGTCCCAATCGTTGGTTTGTTTAAATCGATCGTTGGTTTGTTTAAATCGTAAGCTTGATATCCTTATCGTAAGTTGTCTTTATAAATCAAGATTTTGCCATGTAGCTTGCTTGGTAATACTCAGTTGTTATTATTATCATTTTTCAAAATTGTTATTATCATCAGTCAGTCACGAATAATTAGAAATAATAATTCATCAAGTTGGATATAAGAATAAGTGAAGAATGATAAATAAATAAGATTGTTATATAATATTTTTAGCGTTTTAATTTTTTTGGTATTTAATTTACTTTATGCGTTTTAATATTTAATTTACTTTATGCGTTTTAATATTTAATTTACTTTTATATTTTAAGTTATGTAGTCTATTAAATAAGCAGGTTTTTGTTTAATTCGCACTGGTCTAGAAATCGGTGTTATATCATTTTTATCAGTAATTTTATTTTTGTCCACATTTCCTTCCTTAAAAGAATCCTTAAAGTCATAATTAATAAGTGTGTTAAAACAATTTCTTATTCTTAATTGATCTAAGTGTTTCCTCAAAATACCTTTATCTGTCCTAATTTGGAACATCATGTCACTTTCTTTGTGTGTGACCATGCCTTTACACCATTTGTTATCACCTTGTACTTTGTACCAAACAAAATCTCCTACGTTAAAGGTTCTATTTCGTGGTAAAGTAACGTTGATTTTGTTCTCCTTCTCTTCCAACGGTTTTAATAAGTCCCATTTAACTCTAATGTCTTGTTTGAACATTCTCTTGGAAGGTTTAACTCCTGTAGTATCATTACGCGTGTTTCAATAATTAAATAAAAATTTGCCAAGTGCGATGTCTAAGTCACTTTTGATATTCCTTTTCATATGTGTTTTGAATGTTCTCACCATGCGTTCTACCTGGCCATTGGATTGCTGGTGATAAGCAGATGTGAGCACATGTTTGATACCATAATCATTGCGAAATTTTTCAAAATCGTTGCTTGTAAAGTTAGTGCCGTTATCAGTAACTATAGTTTTAGGTATTCCATATAGCGAAATAGTTTTGAAAATTTCTTTTAAAGTAACATCGGTCGTAATATTTTTAACAGGAACAATAATTGGAAATTTACTGTAGGCATCGACTAATATCAACCAATTTCTTGTGAAGAACGGACCCGCAATCTATGTGTATCCTTTCAAATGGTTTGGTTGCCGAAACCCATGGTTTTTATATCTTTTTAGGATTGTCGTAATATATATTACAATCGTCACAAATTTTCACTTCCATATCTATGTCATTATTTATACCAGACCACCACATGTAATATTTGGCTAAGGATTTGATTTTTCCTGCTCCCATGTGACCTTCATGTAATGACTGTTGTACTTTTTTTCTCATAGAAGACGGAATTATGATTTTGTTGCTTTTGTAAAGACAATCCTTAATTTTACTTAATTACAATACAATGTTTTTATAGATATCTTTATAGGCCTGTTTTTCTTAATATCGTTTATAACTTGTTTTAACTCAATATCTTTCAAAGTTTCATCACGAATTTGTTTAAAATTTGATAGGTAAATCCCCAAAGTCATTTATTATTGTGATATTTTCAACTACATGACATTATTGTGGCAATCTCGAGAGACAATCAGGAACAACATTATATTTACCGGTTTTATACTTTATATCAAAATCATATCCTCCTAATGTTATATTCCACTTCTGGAGTCTTAATGACATAGTACTATTATCCTTAAGACCCTTGGTAAAGATGTGAACAAGAGGTTTATGGTCAGTAATAATTGTAAATTTTGTGCCGATTAAGTATTCCTGGAACATCTTTATAGCGAACATAATAGCGAAAGCCTCACGCTCAATATTTGTATAGTTCATTTCGGATTTTAATAAAGTTCTCGACGCAAAAGCTATTGGTTTTTCTTTACCGTCTTTTTCAGTATGAAAAAATACAGCTCCTAAACCACATTTAGATGCGTCTTGGCTATTCCTATAGGTAATTCAGGGTTAAAATATGTCAAGGCAGGAGGAAGACTAATCAACTTCTTAAGATCATTAAAACTTCTAGAGTGTTCTAAGTTCCAAGCCCATTTTTCTTTGTTGACGATTTTATATAGAGGATCGGCTATTTCTGCAAAATTGTTCAAAAATTTTCTATAGTAGCCAGCCATTCCCAGAAATATTGATAATTCAGCAGCTGATTTTGGTTCTGGCATATTAATTATTGCTTCCATTTTGTCATGATTAACATGAATCCCATTCGCGTCAATATCATGACCCAGGAACCTCACTTTATTTTTAAAGAAAACACTTTTGTTGAAGTTAGGTACTAGCCCAAACGATGATATTCTATCAAACACTTTTTTTATGTTATTTAGGTGGGCTTCATCGTTTTTCCCAGTTATAAGTAAATTATCAATATAAAATATGACGTCTTCCATGTCACCGAATTTGGTCTATGGTTGGAAGATTGCAGATGAGGTTTTAAGCCCAAATGGAAGTCTATTAAATCAGTAATATCCATTGTGCGTAGATATAGTTAAAATATTTGTGCAACTTTTATCAATCGGGACCTGTAAGAAAGCATTTTTAAAGTAAATCTTCGTAAATTTCTTTCCTTCTGAAAGTTTAGCTTATTTTTTAATTCGTGGTAGTGGGTATCTGAAATCTTTTAGAGCTGGGTTTACGGTGTCCTTAAAATCAGCGCAAAGCCTAATGCTCCTATCATATTTGTAGACGGCGGTAATAGGACTTGCCTATCGAACATCATTCACCGGCTCAATAATTTTATCATGCATCCATTTTTTAAGTTCATAGCTCACAAGATAAATTTTTGAATAAGGAATACGTTTAGGTGGTATAATTTTAGGTTGGGCATATCTTTTTAAATGTAACTTGACACTTGCTTTGTTGAGTGGCCTGTTAGTCAATTTGGATTCGCACTCTTTAATCAATTTTTTTATTTCATCTTCGTAATTTGTGTCAATATTTGCTATAAATTTATTTAAAATATTTTTGAAAGCGTTGATCCATGTACTCAACAAGGCTTTTTTCATAGACTCAACGACCACTGCTTGTAAATATTTTGAGATACCTTCATAAGTCACTTTAACTTGTGTAATGCCGATGATCTTATTAAATTTCCATCATAAGCGATAAGTTGCAACTCGGATTTTTTAACATCTCTAATACCATGCATAAAGTTTTCACTAAAACTTTGGTAAGATAAGTTAAATATGTTGATTAAAATATTTTTATCCTGTATTGGTAAAAGGTATCCTAATTTCTTAATCACTATTTTAAGATCTAAAATCTCAGTATTTGAACAAATTGATTTAATATTATCAAACACATCATCAGATAAATTATTAAGGTATTTATTTTAACGGAGTCCGATAATGTTCTGGTCGAAAAGTAACTTAACACCCTATCTAAGTAAATCTCAATCAGTGGTCCAATAAGTTTTGGGAACTTGTAAGGTGTAAAATCAGATAATTTTCTTTTTTTTATAAAATATCACATAAGTATAATATGTCATGAACAAAAATGTTAATTGTTTTCTTCTTTTTTTTTAAATAAAAATGGCAATGTTTATATTTTTGTAAATGTGCATTGCAGTTGTATAAATTCAGATTCATTGTAAGCAAAATATTTTCGTCCAATATAGCAACGTAGCATCTCTTTTAAACTAAAGAATTCAAAGAAAACATCTCCATTGGCAGGTCCTCGAGTGCATTGGACATCACAATTATAAGTGAGTTCCCATAATATATCGTTCATCGAGACCTCATATGGAACATTGGATATTTTAAAAGAAAACATCGAAAATTGTATAATAAAATATTGTTGAAATTTTTAATTTTTATATAGAATTATGAGGAAAACATTTTTTTTTTTTATTTAATGTTTTTGTATGATAAATGTTAAATGTCATCATTAAAAAAAATGGAAGAGAAAAATTTCAAAAAAAATAAAATATAACGCATAATGGCGAGTTTTTTTTGCCATCCTCACTCGGCTCGGGTGACCATGAAGAAAAGTAAAACTATTATTTTTTTATCTATTTTATTTATAAAATTTGCTTCTATATATATTTTTTCTACATCAAGATTTGAATACAAAAACAAAAAGTAAAATTATAAAATGTCAAATACGATTAAATTTAAGTCAAAATAAAGTCATTATTCAACAAAATTTAAGACAAAATAAATTATTCAACAAAAATTTAAGACAAAATAAAATCATTATTCAACATGTTGTTTTAATAAATGATTAATATTTTATAATTTATAAAATGTTTTACATATTGATAATTTAAAAACTTATTTAGATTTTCATTCACTTAAATGCTCGCTTCAAACTATCGATTTAGGAGGCACGTTTAAAATAAGCCAACCCAACGATAGTGATGGAAGACAAAACATATGACTTAAATTCTGAAGATTTTGATGTGAATTCCTATGTTAAACACATAATAAAAGTATATATTCATTTATGTATTTCAATGAATAATTGATTTTAGGATCACTCATTAAATAAATTAATGGAACAAGAAAATAATTTGAAGAAAGAGATTAAATTATTAGATAATGATATGCAATCATTGGTATATGAAAACTATAATAAGTTTATAAATGCTACAGATATTGTTCAAAATGTAATTAATTGATATAATATTAATTCTTTTTATATTATAATGCAATATACTATGTTATATAGCTAAAGTGCAATTTCTCTTCTATTGAAAGCTTAATAGAAGATGTGTCAAACAAAATGGATAAAATTACCAGCTCTCATAAAAAATTATTAGAAGATATGAAACCAAATAAAGAAAAAATTACAAAATATATAGAGTTAAATGGAGCTTTAAGAAAAGTAGATCTTAATATTTTTTTTAGGCATTGTTATTTATTTATTTTAAATAAAAATTCTTTATTACATTTTATTAGCTTTATAATTTATTAGTTTATTATATCTAGATGCAATTTTTATTTGACCTTCCTGATCATCTCAAAAAGTTAATTTTATCAAAGAGTTATTCTCAAGCTCTTAAGTTGTAAATTTCTAAGATGAATACAATAATATCTATATTTTAGAGAATATATTGAAGCAAGCAAACTTTTGGAAAAGCATCAAAACTTTAAAACTTTTGAAGACATTGCATCAGAATGTAAACTAATTATGATAAGTCTACATGATGATCTTTTAATCAAGGCTGAAAAATCTGATTATAAGGTTTTATTAAAAAAATATTATAATAAGTAGAGTACATTATCTATAAAATTACTTTTTACATGGTTCTAGCCATAACCATTAAAAACCCCTCACCCCTGAGTCAATAATAATGACCCCCCCCCCCCCTATCAGTAAAATACATAATAATTTGCTTATAACATATATGTTGACTAAGAGCAAATCCCCCTCCCTTCTCTCTAAGGTAGCCCTTGAAATTTTAATTATATAACTGGTTCATTCCTTAATTAGTAAATAGACTTTCTACTACTGGAGGTATATGACACTAAATTGAAGAGGTAGGGCTACAAATGCCTGTCACTAGAAAAAAAATTAAAGTATAGTATTAAATAAATTTAAATGGTGGTTGGGGGTGTACATATTTTGATTTCCTTTTTTGCTAATACTAATTGGTAAATATAAGGGGTTATTAGATCTACAAAGCCTGTCTGGGCCCACCTGAAAGCCCAGTCCATCAAATTCTTAAAAAATTAAAATAGGTCATGGAATTTAAAAAAATTATTATAATGTGCCTAGTAATTCACACATAAAAAATTTTAAGCCAATCCAGGCTAGAAAATGTATGTATAAAATATCATGCAGGGTCACAAATTTTTGTTAATTCATAAAATTATAATGGATCAGCTTGGGATATTGAAAATGTACATGTTTGTGATTGAACGAACTTTGAATGTGAACAAATTCATGTTTTATGCTCATTCAATTTTAAAAAAATCCTTTTTTTTTTATTCATTTGAAAATATTAATATAAGACATTTCCTTTATCACATTAGAATTTTTTTTAACTTGTCATATTTCAGTCCTATGATATATTTTATTAATTTGAATATTTTTATTTATATTATATAGATTAGTATAAGTGTGGAATTCTGAAAATTCAGAAGCATATGAATTAACATTATGGTCATTTCATATCAAATCGACCAAAAAACGAAATTTTTGTATGACCATCTCTAAAACGATGTTATATATTTTAGTAAAATTAAAATTTTAGAGCACTAGCTCAATCAGATCCAAAGATACACATCTTCAAAGTCAGAAATCTGGCAAAGCATGAATTCATTAAATCTTATTTAAAATAAAAATACATGTCATACACTATTACATATCATTTTATAGCCCTTAAAATTTAAATTATAAAATTTAAAAAAATTTAAAATACCTTTTTTTCTTTATTTCCCATAAAAATAAAAAATTAACATTCATTAGAAGGGATTTTTTTTAGGTGTCGGTATTCGCTAGGAATGTAAATCACCTTTATATTAAACTGTTTAATCAAAAAAATCTATTTTCGTTTTTAAATTTATTAAAATTTTTATCATAATTATAAATAAAATATCATATTATAGATGACGCTATGCCTTAAACATTCAACAAAAATTTAAATAGGTCCTCTTTTTCATAAAATTTTTACAATTGGGCCAAGCAAATTTTTTTAAAAAAATATAAAGAACCAAGCTGAGCACAAAAAATTATAACGGGCGGCAAGACCTTGCAAAAAATTTAACAGACTAGGCTGGGCAAGTGCAAAAATTCTTAACGGGTCAAAGTCGGTCGGGCTTTGCAACCTCTAAAGTTTATCATTGTCTTGGGGAGGGGGTATGCCTGCCAGAGGGTTAAGAATCATTAAATGTTTTATGCAATTTATTCTTACAAATGGTGAGAAAAACAAATTTATCTTAATATTTTAAAGATAAAATAAAAAAAATTTTTGTCAACGTTGTTCAAGAAATACAGTTAAAAGTTGCAAAAATGACCACCTTTACACTTCTATCCACTCAAGCAAACATTAAACTCATTACTCAAAATGAAATTGCTAAATATTTAGTGATATAATGTTGTTAGAGCACGTTTAAGAAATATTATCTAATTATTTTAAAATAAATTATTGACATTTTTTTTTCTTTTTTGATAAATAATAGGTTCCAGTGTCAGAATTTTTCGAAATTTTTGACATATTAAAAACTATGTCTAGCTGTGGGATCGCTGAAGAGCAACATTTAAAATATTGGGATATGCAATTTTTATCCCAAAGTTATCTTGAAATGTGGGTATTTTCTTTTAAAATATTACATGCTGATATTATTTTATTTAAGCTAAAATATTATTATGAAAATCTCTGCTAAGAAGGGAGTAAATTTTAATTATAAATACAACCTGGTCGGGTCAAAAATAATTTCAAATTAAATTGTTTAACCCATTAAATCACATGATGTAAAGCTTTGTAAAATTATCAAATGAAACTCGAAGAGTGTTTTTACCAAACTAATCTAAGATATATATATATGTTACCATCTATGTGTTTTTTCCCGCAAAGTGTTATTTTTTCAAATTAAAATCATTTTTTCCCGTTTTTTTTAAATTTTAAAAATATTATCAAAATATAGAGAATAAAATAAAGATTTAATTTGAAATATATTTTCCATCGGGCCTTATACAAACTCGGCTAAATAATTGATTTTAATAAAGCCTCTAAATCTTATGATAATCAGAATTGCTTCATTTTCAAATATTTTTTTTAAAATAAAATAAATGTTTAAGTGAAAATATAATTTGATATATAAAAATTTTTTTTTTACATATCTACATTTTTCAGTATTTACAAAATTTAATTTTATTTTAATTTTTTTTAAAGTAAAGATGCCCTCTTCTAAGTTTTACATAAACGTTAATATTTTTTTAAATAATCAGGGTTAAAGCTAAATGTTGCGATCATGTAAACTTTTTGGCAAACGTTCTCGAAACCCAAAATTCAACCGATACCAAAGTAATCATTTATCCTAAAATTACGGTTTACGCTAAAACCTTCAATAAGTTGATTGTTTAGAAGTCGGTTATAAGTTTCAGTTCTGTAGATAAAGGGGGGAGATATTTCACTATTCAGCTTATTATTTATTCTAAATTCGACCAATGGCTTGTATCACTATAGTTAGGTTAATAATTCTATTTTTTAGCAGTTTTTATTTGGCCAAAATTGGCTAATATTTTTTTTTTTGAAAATATGACTAAAAAAAATTAGTAATAGAAGGTATATTATAAAAACTAGAAAAAAAATAAAATGTTTATAATTTGTACAAAACCGGAACACAAAAATGGCGAAAAATTTAAACATATTAAAATACAAGTAAAAACCTTATGTTAGTCTGAGAATGAAAAAAATACGATTGAATTTATCATATATTTATATTGTAATGTCATTAAGCGTTTTAATGGCTATAAAATAACATGACAAGTTGATGATGTTAAATTAGTTCACAGGACGTTATGGTGAATTCACGATTTAAATAATTAGTATAATGAATATTTTTTCAGGGAAAAGGGCTTATCTAATAATAAATAAATTTATATATCCCAACCGAATCGCCCTCTAAATAATAACAATATTAATTCACATTAATATATTTTTATTTTCCATTTTTTAAGGATTACTCAAAATTTTCTCAAGAATTATGCCAGGGGTTTTTGAAAAATTTCGCTTCTTACCTCATCTACCACAAAATACTGTTCAAAAACGTCGAAGATGAATCCAGGTTAATTTGTCATTGTTTTTCTTAAACCTTATCAACAAATCATAAATTTTAGCGATTCCGAACATCTCTTATCTAACTCCATTTCCTTGCAAATTCTTTCCCTACTAACGAGCCGTATCCTGTTCCCCTTTTTCGGGTCTGGCCCTACTTGCCAAAGCGAGCACTCCATAGCCTTGGCCCTGGATAAGTTGTACTTCGAAACTAAGAAGATGAGTTGTCATTTCAGATTGGACGAATGGTTTATCGGGAACGCCTTGATTCCCATTATAGAGGGGAGAATTAGAGCCTATGCTGCCTCGAGCTGTTCCAACTTCAATAGTATTTTTAAAAAATGCATTATATTATTTTTAAGTTTTAACTCTTTTTCGCTTTTAACAATTTCTTTTAATTTTATAAAATTTTATTTATTTATTTTATTCAAAAAGAAATTTTCTGGATTAATTACAAAGCTTTAAAAAAAATTAGAAATGATTTTTCAATGATAAATAATGAGCACAACTTGTTTAATTTGTACCATCAAAAATATTTGTTGCAGTTTTTAAGATTTTTTAATTTAAATTTTGAAAAATATAAATTACAAATAAAATTAGTATGGAAAAAAAAGCATTTATTATTAAATAAAATAGAGACAGAAAATAATTAAAAGTCTGCAAATGGCAAAATTTTCAGACATGGCTCGGCTGGAATTTAGTTTTTGCCCAGCCCATCCAAATTTTTACCCGGCCTGTTTTCAATTTTTTTAGGTTGCCTGATCCGGTTTTTTTAAGTACAAGACCTAGAATTATATACAGTTGAACATCAAAATAGGCAACTATTTATAATATTGGGGAGTGGTTAAATTATACAACAGATTATCACTTCTATCAAATATCAGAATTCATCAATAATCCAACCCAATATTTTTTTTGCTCGGCCTGACCCAATTAAAGAATTTCAGATATTATCCCCCGCCAATCGGCCAGGCTGGGTATTGCAGATCTATAAGAACAATCAATTATATACTTTATTTTTTTATCTGGATTGACTTATGCATAATTGATTTCCACCAGGTATTCAAACCGAACCTTGAAACCAATATTAACCGTTGTTACCCTGTTGATATCGGCCGATAACCGATCTGATATATCGTATTTATTCTGTAAAGATATCAATGGTTTTAATTTTTAATATACATTTTATTAGTATAACATCTATAATTTTACTATATCATAATATATGTCATTTAAATTTATAAAATGATCAGTTATAGTTTATATTCAATTCAATTGCAATTCTAAAAGTATATAAAATATTTTTATTGATAAATTACTTATTTATATAATAAATAATAACATAAACTATTTACATAATTAGTAATAAACAAATATATTATGAAATTTGTAATATTTAAATATCGAAGATTTCTTTTTCTGCGGTGATGGAAACTGTCAATATCACTAGCATCACTAAAAACACATTCTGAATATTTTTGAACACTTTTTTAAACAGAATGCGAAAAAAAAATAACTATGTCAGAATGTTCATTAACTAATTATTACTATTAAAAAAATTAAACATAAAAATGGATTTCAATTTTATTTATAAAAATAAATGGTTTTTTAGATATAACTTTTTCTAAAAAATTTTATAATATTTTATTTTTGTTAAAAACGCCATATTTTATCGGATCGGAAAATTTTATAATATTTGCCGATAACCGATATTTTAAAATGGCTGAAATATCGATCCCTAGTTCTCAGTAAAATAATAAAATTTAATCTTCCTCTTATAGATATATTGACGATAATATACGGCTCAATATTTTTTTTTATAGAATATTGATACAATTTTAAATCTTTTCCTTATATAATTCTTACATGCTTTTATGCGGAAAGGTTTGAATTGGGTTTTAAAGATTCAAATCCAACCGACATTATTTTTTTTGCAAACCGAACGTTAACCATGACCCGTTCTTTTTTTATCTGAACAGAACCGATATTCGTTTAGGTTTGGATTCCTTGTTTTCATAAATTTTTGGCATATAAATTCTGTTTCACATAGTTAGACATTCCCCTCAATTGTTATATTTAACTCGAAACTTGAGAGATGTGATTAAAAATAAAGCACTCTAATTCTGAGTCCCTTAGTATTATCATATTTTTATTTTTTTTTAAAACAATTCAAGAATTGTCGATGGAAGTTCGGCAAAAATTGGCCAAACTCAACGTTAATTCATTGACGGAAGGTAGCAATTACTTGAGGGAGATGGCCAAGAATTTTCTTTCGTCCCTTGTCGAAAACATCAAGAACGTTTTGAGGAAATTGACGGTTTGTTGGGGGGGGGGTTGTTTTTGTGCTATTAAGAAAGAAAGATAAATAAAGATTGAATGAAAGTTGAAAAAAAGGGAGCTTAATTTTATATTCTTTAACTGCGATGTGGAAGTTAAACGAACATTACAAAGTCTTAATAATAATTTAACAAAAATATTATTAAATAAAATAAAAAAGTGCTACACCTCGGTTGAAGAAATATCTTATTCTACGGAACCAGAGTTTGCCGAAACCTTTCTTAAATCCTTCATTTTTGGCCAATTTTTGTTTCCCTTTTTTCGGCATTTCATCAACACCCTGCAAGTATATGATAATAAATCATATTTTTTTTGTTTAATGTATTTATTTGAAAATTTTAGAAAGATTTTGTATTTTTAAATACAAAATTTTTTAGACGATAAATATAGATATACTTTGTAAAATATAAATCCACATTTATTTATTTAAATATTAAATTTGAGACTTCAGTTAGCATTGTAATTTTATAATATACTAAAATCTTTAGTAAGAAAATCTTTATTATAATAAAACATTTTTGATCCTAAAATTTTTTGTACAAATATTTTGTGATTTTTTAAAAATAAAATTTTTGAGATATATGCTTTTATTTTATTTTTAGATCTTATCTCTAAGATATTATTATAAGATATTTTCACCAGGATTCTGTGACAACGTCAACATCCTTTAAATATAATTTGACTTTTAGGAGAATTTTTTTAAAATATCAAAAATCAATATTATGGTGAACGCTAAATATAATATCCTCATCTAAAAATGAAATCCAAATCATAGATGAAGCGATTTCACCCCCCCCCCCAACACCCATGCAAAACAGTTATATTAATTATATTTGCAAATATTACATGTGATATGCTACTGCTGCAACAATAGATGTATTATTTATAATGTTTGTATTACTGCAGATATTAGATAATTTTAAAAAATGTTTAATACTAAAAATAGGAAATTGATAGTGTTACTAATAAAAATTGAATTGCAAATCGTCAAAGTATTTATTTGGAGAAATATTTTTATTTAAAATACATTTTTTGGAAGTGTGTTTGTATTTATTTTTATTCATGAAAATTTGTCCATCCCTAAATATATCCTAACATTTTTCTTTCTATTTTTGTTGCTGAAAGCCCAAAAAATCTATAAAAAATGAATTATTTTATGATACATTCACAAAAGATTTTAATTTATAATAAGCAAATCCAAATATTTTCCTATTTCTATTGAATGTCATGTTCCATGTCATTTCTATTAACTCTTTTAATCCCTTATATCATCTTTATTGAGGCTATTTGTTAAAATTATTTTGAACCCGTTAAGAATCAAGATTATTATATCTGTCTGATTATATTTATCAGGAAATTTTTGATTATAAAAAATTCTTTGTGAATTTATTTTGTCATAATTTTATTATCCAATTAGAGTCATTCTTAAAAAAAATAACAATAAACAATACATTTAATTTTTTTTTTCTTGCTTCTTAAAAAGAAATATTGTATTAATTTATTTTTAGAGATTTGAAGATGTGAAAGACAATGGAATTATAGATCAGACTACTTTAAGTTCGAACCAATCATTCTCAGCTACCGCTAACTCCTCCCTATCTCTCTTGTTCTTTTCACGGGTGGCGCTTGATTTTTATAGGACTGGATATGACGAACTGGTAAGGAATCATTTCCGTTATAACTTACAAACTAAAACCATAATTATCTTAATTTATAGAACAATCTATATGAAATAAGGTCAAGGATGAGTTGTGTGTTAGGGCTTAATCAAGATTTTAGCCACAATATTTATTAACTAAGCCTCGAAATCTCGCCAATTTAAATCCAAACCTTTTTGCCTTATGTGGACAAAATAAATAAGTTCGAGTAATTTACTTTTGGGCAAAATTTTGAGTTAACCGTTTTTAAAAATGGCCAAATCGCGCCGTTTAGCAATACTAGCTGAATGTGACTCGTTAGATATATTGATATCCTTTTCCTTATTGCAGATATAACAAAAAATAGTCGAAAATTTTTAAATATTTTTTTAAACATTACAACAAATAAATTATATTTTGTTCCTCTTATTAATTTATTATTACGAAATTATTTATAAATTAAAAAAAATATATATAATTCTATATACGTTCATATAATAATCAAAAATAATAAAGAATATCGGATCGGTTGTTTTAAAAATATCGGTCCAATCCGATATTTTTTGTAAACTAAGTATCGGTGCCGATCTGATCAAATATTTAATATCGGCACAGCCCTAGTTAATAGGGAGGAGGGCTTATTAAAATTATATAAGGATGTATCTTACTTGAGTGTATTACTTCTCACAATAGTTATTTAATGTATAGGTACATCACCCCTCTTCAATCATATAACGAAATAGTTTGATCTTATTATAAAGTTTTCAAGAGAATTTAAACCTTAAAATTGTGAATAATTATTGATTTGAATCTAAGCGAGACAAAATTGAAACATTATCTCCACGGGATGAAGAAAAAAGATAAAATATGAGAGGAGATTGTTTTTTTTTAAAAAAAGATAAGAAAAACGGTGTTTTATATTGGTGATTATTTACGAAGGATATATATATTTAAATATGTTGAAAAGTTTAAATATTGGAATGTATTAACTTTTTTTATATGTGGATATTTATTAATATAACTTTAAATTAGTTAGATAATATAGCTATGAATCATAAAAAAGAAGGCAAACGGAGTTGATAGTCCGATAGAAATGTGTGATATCAAAAGGTAAAGTTAAATAATATAGAGAAAGGCAAGTGATGAATGGGGAAGAAAAATGACTAAAAAATAAAATTGATTTAACTGACAAATTAAAAGCCAAAAGAAGAAAAAGAATATTATAAATAGTTTTCCCAAATTAGCGAAAAATATAAAGAAATTTGTAAATTTGGATGACATATTTGACAAAATCGTCAAGTAATATGTGGTTAATTTTAAACAGGTCATCAGTAAAGGAATAAAAAAAGCGGGGAATCAGTAAATTCGTCATTATTTGTTAATATAATGGTAAGAAACAGAAAGTGAAGAAGGGTATATATACCGGTTTTATTGCACACTTCCATTTCAATTTTATTATTTTATTTGCATGGTAAAAATTTCAATTTATTTGTTATGTCTAAAAAACAAGCGAATAATTTGATATAATTTTTTGTTATATTATATATAGTAAGAAAAGGATTTAAGCATATCTATAAGGAATCACATTCGGATAATGTTGTTAAACGGCTTGATATAGCCCATTTTTAAAAACGGCCAACGCAAGATTAAACAACCTGATTAGGATTCTAGCCAAAATAATTTTATGTAAGCCTCAAGATTTTGAAAATATATATCCAAACCATTCTGTCATCAATGAACGAAATCTAAAAATTTACAAAAATTATTTTGGTTACAATCTTAATCGGGCCGTGTTTAAGAATCGACCCGAATCGGGTTTTTAACAACACCACCTACAGTTGACAGAAAAGTCTGTCATCTATTAACCAAATTTCTAGACTTGGGTAATAATATTTTAGCCAAATCTTACCGTTTTGAAAAGGTTAAATTGAGCCCTTTAACAACATACCTTCTGTCATAAACATTGCTGATATTTTAAATGGGTTAGAAAATTTAAAAAATAACTATTCGAGAAAGTTGGTTGGTTTTTTTTATGAATAGAAAATATTTTTTATGACATTGGTTTAAATATAGACTAATATAAATATCGGATTGTATCGGTGAAAAATTTGCGGATGACACAACCCTACTCCGACAAATTTCAAAAGTTTGCAAATCGATTTTTTTGATATTTGTGCACCGCCTAATTCCCAAACAATTAAAATGAAAGTTTTATTTAAAATGATAAGATTTGTTGGACCGCATGTAAGAACTTGTAAAAGATGTTAATCAATAATTAATTTCAAAACTGGTAAGTATTTTTTTAATATTTGTTTTGTGATTTTATAAAAATAACTCAAGGTTTCCTTCGCCCATGATACCTTCCGCACCATTCCTCGTCCCAACTCCATCACTTCCCCTTCATCAAACTTTACATCTTTCCCTAAATCGGAATCGGCCAAAAATTCCCAAAATTACGGGGTCACTGCCCAGGACCAAGTGATGGTTGGTCAATTTGAAGCGATCGCCTCAGCAGGTGTTTCCACTTACGCCCGGTCTAGGGGAGTGTCTATTAGTAAGCTGGCAGAACGTAGCGCTGCGTCACGTGACTGGCTAGGCGGAGCCGAACCAAGAACCCCCCGAGCCGCCCTAAAGAGAGTTAGAGAAGAAATCGAAGGAGTGGATTTAGTGGTTAGTTTTTTTCTGATGATTCAGTAATCTGTTTCCACTTTTGCCTATCATGTTTTCTTATAAATTTTAATGTGTATTTATTTTATTGAAGATTATAGAATTTTTGTTTCTTTACAGGGTCTGATATAATATATATAATTTATTAATAGACTGTTATATAAATTAGTCGCATACAGTAGAGCCAAATTCCTCTAAACCCCAATCAGACACGCCCTCCCCCTCCTGATAATGACGCGGAGGCCCCTCTTGACTAAAATATATACTGAATAAATTATAAAATTGTCTAAGAGTACCCTCCCCCTCCAATATACACCTACCTCATAAAATTCAATGGCTTTATTACATCTTACCCCTTTGCTATAAGGCTCGGGGATTAAAAAGAAAGAAAATAAGAACGTAAATAAAAAATATAAATAATTCTAAAAGGTAGGCCAATTGTTCGACGATCAAAACGAGAAGCAGCAACCACAACACGGGAGTAGCCATAGCAGTTCCAGAAAATATTCTTCTTATTCCAGGAATACTACTAACCAAGGAGGAAACAAATCCTTCAGACCTTTACACTCTGCTAGGTTTAAAACTGTAAACATAATAAACCTTCAAAAGTTTATTTCCCTTCATATTACAACATTATAATTGTATTACTTGTTTTAATTAAATGCAAAATAAGAAGGGAAGGAAGGAATTAAGGGTAATGCCAATATATTTAAACCAATAAAAATGTATGAAAATTTATAGAAAATAAATATGATGATTTATCCATTATTTAATTGTTTTTTTTACTGCTTCTAACTCCTTTTATTTTAAAGTAATTTTAATTGGAATTTCGTTTGCTTATCATTTAAATAAATAAAATTTAAAATAGAGAATGCAATTTGTCCGATTGATTGTAAAAGTCAAATTCACATTTTTTAATTTATTTTTACCTCATTCCCATCTTTCCTTCCATTCTTCCAATTTTTTTTAAAATCAACTTAAATTCGAGAATCCAAAAAATTTTAAATTCTTATCTATATATACTATTTTATATGTATTAAATTTAACTTATATAAGTATGCAATTAAATTGACCTTTTTTTTTCTCTTTAGCTTTCACCTTTTCTGGTAGTAAGCTCCTTCAACATCTCTCTCCACTTTATATTATTCATACATTCTCTTTTATCTAATTTATACTTCTTTATATTGGCTCTAACTTTATGGCCCCATTGAAGTTTTGGGTAACTAACGGTATCTCGGGGAAATTTTTCATCTTTTTTTATAAATTTATTTTTAATTTATTTTTATTTATTGTTGTTATGTTTAATTATAGCTTTTTTAAAAGACCATAATTATAATATTATAATGGAATATCTTATTTTTACCGATATCATAAATTGTTATACAAGAACCATAGCTTTTTTAAAAGACCACGAACTTCTAGATAATCACACGTGTTGTAATAATAATATGATAATGGAGAGAAATGCAGCATCTTATAGAGTAAGATGCAAAATATGTACAAGCAGCAATTCTATATGGAAGGGTTTAACAATATATTATTTTTTAAATTTATTTTATTAATTAGGCTCTATATTTGAAAATGTTAATATCCCTGTTAACAATTTATACATCTAATATATCTTTTTGTGTCCTTGACGTCAATATCCGACAGCCTTCCTTTAATAGAGTTAGCACAATGTACCATTGGAAAATGGTATATATTTATTTGTAAAATATGTCAATAAGTATTTTTTAGGTATGCTATATTTAGAAAGATTTGCTGCCATACACAGGCAATTAATTTTGACAAAATAGGGGGCCCTGGGCTTGTGATTGAAATAGATGAATCCCATATTTTTAAAAGGAAAAATAACACAGGGAGGATTCTAAAATCTAATGCCATTTGGGTTGTAGGAGGAATTTCAAGAAATGATGGGAATTTTTTTATTTCTCATACAGAAAAAAGAGATAAAGATACCCTTCTAGGTATAATCAGCAAACATGTCCATACTGATTCAACTATAATGACGGACAAATGGAAGGGGTAATTTAAATATTGATAAATCTTAAAATTTAATATTTGTTAAGTTATAACAATCTAAATGAAAATGGCTATGACCATTACTCAGTGAATCACAGTCAAAATTTTGTAGACCCTAATGATATATCAACCCATACTCAACGCATTGAGCGTTTATGGAGGGATCTTAAGGCAAGCATACCCAGAAATGGAAAAAAATCTTCAACTCATTTGTATATATATCAATACAGTTATTTTCGCAAAATTAAAAATATGTCCAATTTAAATAAATTAATTAAATTTTTAAATGATATAAATATGTATAAAACTATTTTTGTTTTTCCTTAAAATTATATATATCTATATTATCATTGTTTATTGAAATAAATTGGTTAATTATCTAGAATTTGATTGAAAATTTTAAGAAAAAAAATTATATATATAACTATATTATCAGTGTTTATTCAAATAAATTGGTTATTTATCTAGAATTTGATTGAAAATTTCAAGAAAAAATCTTAATTCTTTAGTATATTATGATTATATTTTTATCTTAAATATTTAGCATTTGATTTAAAAATTTAAATTTAATTGAAAATTTTTAGAATGAATCTTAAATAATTGAAAATTTCAAGAAAAAATCTTAATTCTCTAGTATATTATGATTATATAGTTTTAGAAAATTTAAATTTTAAGAAAAAAATCTTAAATATCTAGTATTTGAAAAATTTTAAATGAATCTTAAATAATTGAAAATTTTAAGAATAAATCTTAAATAGAATCTTAAATAATTGAAAATTTCAAGAAAAAATCTTAAATAGAATCTTAAATAATTGAAAATTTCAAGAAAAAATCTTAATTCTCTAGTATATTATGAATATCTAGTTTTATCTATTTTTTTATTTATTAATAAAAAAAAATAATAAAAAAAACAATAAAAAAAATGATAATATCGAAAATTTCCCCGAGATACCGTTAGTTACCCCATTTTCATTTAGATTGTTATAACTTAACAAATATTAAATTTTAAGATTTATCAATATTTAAATTACCCCTTCCATTTGTCCGTCATTATAGTTGAATCAGTATGGACATGTTTGCTGATTATACCTAGAAGGGTATCTTTATCTCTTTTTTCTGTATGAGAAATAAAAAAATTCCCATCATTTCTTGAAATTCCTCCTACAACCCAAATGGCATTAGATTTTAGAATCCTCCCTGTGTTATTTTTCCTTTTAAAAATATGGGATTTATCAATTTCAATCACATGCCCAGGGCCCCCTATTTTGTCAAAATTAATTGCCTGTGTATGGCAGCAAATCTTTCTAAATATAGCATACCTAAAAAATACTTATTGACAAATTTTACAAATAAATATATACCATTTTCCAATGGTACATTGTGCTAACTCTATTAAAGGAAGGCTGTCGGATATTGACGTCAAGGACACAAAAAGATATATTAGATGTATAAATTTGTTAACAGGGATATTAACATTTTCAAATATAGAGCCTAATTAATAAATTAATTTAAAAAAATAATATATTGTTAAACCCTTCCATATAGAATTGCTGCTTGTACATATTTTGCATCTTACTCTATAAGATGCTGCATTTCTCTCCATTATATTATTACAACACGTGTGATTATCTAGAAGTTCGTGGTCTTTTAAAAAAGCTATGGTTCTTGTATAAGAATTTATGATATCGGTAAAAATAAGATATTCCATTATAATATTACTAGTTGATAACCCGTCAAAAATGACGGGGAATATTCTTTTTAATGAAACAATATCTCTTATTAGCACCCTAAATACTATCATTATTTACCAGAGCTCCTGTTAGTCAGAATTGCTGTTCACTCCCCACCGCGTGAAGGTAGGAGATGGATTTTAGGGGAGCAAAGATATGAGAAAAAGAATGAACAAAAGAAGGAAGAAATAGGAAAAAAGAGACAAAGATATGAATTATAAGAAAATATAATAAATATTTATACTTCAAGACTTGATGATTATCGGGTTACAACACATATGCATTTGTAGCCATATAAAAATATAATATAATAAAATTTATAATATCAAAAATTTTACCAAAAAAAGGAGATTTAAAATATTTTCAAAATTGAGAGGGATGTAAGCTTGACTTTTATTTGTTAATGTTTTGCCTTGGCTCGTAGTTTGCCGTAAATAACCTGAAATAAAACGTGTAAATTGAAATTATAAAATAGAATTTACTGTTGTTGGTGATGAAGATGGTTTAGCTATGGTGAAGAAGTTTTCTTTTCTTTGCTCAATGTGGTGTCGTTTTTGAAGATGATGTTGTAATTTCCTTGCTCGTAGTTTGCCGTAAATAACTTGAAATAAAACGTGTAAATTGAAATTATAAAATAGAATTTACTGTTGGTGATGAAGATGGTTTAGCGATGGTGAAGAAGTTTTCTTTTCTTTGCTCAATGTGGTGTCGTTTTTGAAGATGATGTTGTAATTTCCTTGCTCGTAGTTTGCCGTAAATAACCTGAAATAAAACGTGTAAATTGAAATTATAAAATAGAATTTACTGTTGTTGATGATGAAGATGGTTTAGCGATGGTGAAGAAGTTTTCTTTTCTTTGTTCAATGTGGTGTCGTTTTTGAAGATGATGGTAATTCCCTTGCACGTAGTTTGCCGTAAATAACCTGAAATAAAACGTGTAAATTGAAATTATAAAATAGAATTTACTATTGTTGGTGATGAAGATGGTTTAGCGATGGTGAATGGGATATTATTTATTTGAGGTGTATACAATATTTTGAGAAATTTAAATGAAGAATGAAGGAAGCATGATAAAAATGGGTAGCTAATGTCATTTCAAGAGATTCCATTATTGTTGGCATAGTTTGGGGTGTATTGTGAGATTTATTTTTGTTTGTCAAATAGCTAAATATAATTTAAAGAATAGTTATAAGATCTAAATTTTAATAATTACTTTTATGAAATTTTAATCAAGAATGAAGGAAGCATGATAAAAATGGGTAGCTAGATTCCAATATTGTTGGCATAGTTTGGGGTGTATTGTGATAATTATTTTTGTTTATTAAATACTTTTATGAAATTGGTATAGTTTGGGGTCGTATTATGAGCTATATGGTTGTTTTTCAAATAGAGAAATATAATTAAAGTATATTTATAACTCTATATTGTAATTATTACTTAGGAGTGGATAAATCTTTATTTCATTGGCACCATAATAGATTATTATATAATTGAGGTGTATATTATATTTTGTGTGAATATCTTTTTATTAGAGAGTAAATATCCTTGCATTTTTATAGGAGCAATCATAACTTTAGTTTTTTTTTGGAAGTACATCTACTTAAAGCAGCATAAAGTTGGCCATGAGAAAACACAGGTTCTGGTAGATATAAACCTACATGATCAAATGTTTGACCCTGACTTTTATTAATAGTAATTACAAAAGCTGGGATAATTGGGAATTGTCGACGTTTTAATACGAAAGGTAGTTGTGATTCGCTTGGCGCTAAATCTATGCGAGGTATAAAAACTCTGTAACCTTTGTTTGTGCCTGTAATTATTTC